TCTACATGGGGCTGCCTATGGAAAGTGTCAGAAAACTTCAGTGGGTCCAAAATGCAGCAATCAGATTGCTGACTACAGCTGGTTACAGGGATCACATAATCCTTCTGCTACAGCAGCTCCACTGCCTGCTGATCCATTTCTGGGCACAATTCAAAATGTTGGTCTAACTTTTAAAGTCCTAAACTGCTTGGGTGCAAGCTATCTCAAATACCATTTTTCCTATTATGAGCCTGCTTGGATGTTAAGATGATCAGGATAGATCTTTCTCTCAGTCCCACCACTTTTACAGGTGCATTTAGTGGGGCATTCTCTCAGTCCCACCACCTTTACAGGTGCATTTAGTGGGGCCTTCTCTGTTACTATTTCTAGACTTTGGAACTCCCTCCCACAGGAGGCCAGACTGGCCTCAAATTTGCTGTGTCCTTCCATAAGCAAGCAAAGACCTTTTGCTTCAGGCAAGCTTTCTCTCAGTGTCTGGTTGTCTAATTGGAATGTATAAATGGATAGTTATGCTTTCCCACCACCTTTACAGGTGCATTTAGTGGGGCCTTCTCTGTTACTATTTCTAGACTTTGGAACTCCCTCCCACAGGAGGCCAGACTGGCCTCAAATTTGCTGTGTCCTTCCATAAGCAAGCAAAGACCTTTTGCTTCAGGCAAGCTTTCTCTCAGTGTCTGGTTGTCTAATTGGAATGTATAAATGGATAGTTATGCTTTGAATGTGTTTTAAGTATAGCTTTTGTTGACCATTTCTCAGAATGATTTTTGTTTATTCCTTTATAATGTTTTTATACTTATTGTTTATAATTTTAATATTGTATTTTAATAATTTAAGCCGCCTTTGTAGATTATTTTTAGCTTTGATGATGATGATGATGATGATGATAATTGATTATGTAAGTTGTTCTGGGATCTTTTTAAGGCGAAAGGCAGGGTAAAAATATTTCAAATAAATAATAAATACATACATTCTGTAATTGCCTTGTAATAATTTGGTAGTGCTGGATGTAAATCCACTACAAAATGAATGCATTGTTCATTGTTAGATTTATTATTCTGACAGAAAATTTTTATTTATCATTATTTATCAGATTTCTCTCCAGCCCTTTTAGACAAAGTCTACTTCTGTCAGGTTCCATCAAACATTATAAACTAAAACAGTTAAAAACAATTAAAAACAATTCAATTTGTTGAATGGATTCACTTGAGTAGGGAGTGATCTTATGTTAGGATCCATGATGTGGAGGATATCCACTATGAAGCAAATATTTAAGTTCACATTTTGTTTTGTTTTTATCCTTTTCAAATGTGTTATAAACATGTCTGATTCTAAGAGCTAAGCTGTATATAATAGTTCTCTTTATATATTTGAGGTGGCAGGATTTGTGATCAGGTTACAAGTGGGCATCAGTGGGCTTAAAGGTCAGTGGCATTTCTTTTGTTCTAAATGGTAAGGAGGACATAAAGGAAAGGGATAGATGGATTTTCAGTGATGCTACTAGATGTAAATTTGATTATGGACTAAATTGCATTGAAGTATAATTTAAATTTCTCTAAGCATTCTATGCTTTTCCAAATCCGAAAGATATCAACTATGTGAGAGGCCTGTCACAGGCCTTTTTCAGAATGTTTTCTTCTATTTTGCCCATGAACAGATTTGTTTAAGAAAGTCTTATGTGAGTATTTATTGCTTTACTTTGCAGTTGTAAACAATGCTTTCCATTAATTGTGCAATAATTACACATGAGGACCAAACTGATAATAAGTTATGTGAAAGGATCTTTACACCTACTGGTGTAAAGGAAATCATTTAAAGCTTGAATCTCATCATGATATAGTATATAGAGATGTAATATCCCATGTAATAAGTATAGTATCAATATCGAATTGATGCTGTTAGACTCAGTTCTGAGCAAGAAATCATTGGTATCTTTGATATATGATGGGAGGCTTTTCCCCCCCTCTCTAGATTTAAGTCAACATACAGAGATATCCTCTCAGTAGTAGTGTTTTAGATGAGACAATAGGATGTCCTGGGTTGTCAACACTTTAGCAACATAATTGGTATAGGCACAGGTACAGGTATAAACATATACTGAGGAAATAAGGATTTCTAAGTGAAATTCAAAGATTCTGTGTCAATTCACTTTGCCTCAATTCACTGGGAACTTTGTTTCCTATGAAAGTTGCAAAGAGATCCGATCCAGAGAGATACTACATGAACAGCCAAAAATTCTGAATCTTGTGCACCATATGCTGGGGTACCATTTCAGCCTCAATCCTCTGTTAGATTTGATTAAGGAAAAGAACAGATATAGCTATATGTTATGCATTTAAAATACAAAATAGGTTTGCCCTTAATATAATAAAGATTCAGCCAGGCAAATAAGTTTTCCTTTTTTCTTTCTTATACAGTGATATTACATCTACTAATTCCATTAAAGTCACTTACATTTGGTATTTTGTTTCTAAGAGAAATGTGTATCTTTTCTTTTGAAAAGTTCTTTGTTTTCTGTCTTTTCTAATTAAACCAATAAAGCCTCATTTCTCAGGTTACTTTATCTAAACAGACTCTTAATTCAGGACTTCTCCTAAAATATGAAATCTTACAAATCTCTGTAAATGTGGTCATCTTCTCCTCTTCACTCTGATTACAGTCTTTCAAGTGTTCTTCATGTTACTGGGATAAAAGTCAGTCATTACTAGACTTTGTTGATTTGACCTAAAAGTCATTGTGCAAGATGTACTGATTTGTGAATTAATGGCAATTAACTTTCTCTGTGTATGCCAAATTACAGTTTAATATCAGATGTCCAGAAGTATATTTCACTCATGTAGCTTCCTTAATAGTTTATAATGAGGACACTGATAATTTTCTACATAAAGCTTACTTGAAAATGCTAGAACTAACATAGCAAATCAAATATTTGTAGTAACTGGAAGCGATGAAGCTTCTCTATATGTTGGAACTACAAGTGATAAGAGAAATTTACAGCAACCAAGAAGTTTTAATTGAAGAATGAAAGTTTGAAAGGAAATTGGGCACATGCTTTATGAACATGAGATTCTAATTTTGTTTATTATAATTCATTATATCATGTATAAAGTTCATTCAAAAAGGAGCATTCTACCCAAACTCACACTCACTTATAATATTCTCCTGTACATGTTAGTGGACGATCTGAGGATGAAGAGCTCTGCTGTCCATGGAGGTTATCTATATGTGTTTGCTTCAGGGATCATGGAAAATCATGAAGACTATCAAGGGTAGTTGGGAATCTCCATTTCAACCCCCCCAACCCCCAAACTCCATGTGTACAATGAAACCAGGTCATGGGCAGGTCTACAACGCTTCCCTTTTCTTGTGATCTTTATGCACAAATACAAACAACTGAAGAGAGATTTGGCATAGCATAATCAGTGTTTATCAATATGAATAACAACATTTTGCACCAGCTAAGAAACAAACACAAAACAAAAAGGTGACATAACTTCTTCTAATTGATGTTTTGGTTGTTCTTGTTTTTGTTATTAACAGAAATGTAAAACAAACAGTCGCCATGTAGGGGAGAACCTTCTTCTACACATTAATACTCAACTGACATCACAGTTCTATCACTTGTTTCATATTTCTTCATCTGTATCAAATGATGTGATTGTACTAGTGCAAGACATATTAGCTGAATTCCTGTTGCACAGTTACAGAAAACTTTTGGATGCAAGTTGTTCTAAATTAAGAAATCAACATATACATTGTTGCATGCTGTGTCATGTGACTTGGCATGCAACAGAATGCGCATGCTGAGTCATGTGACTTGGCATGCAACAGAATGTCTGCAAAGGTTTTTTTTTAACTTATGGCAATTCTCATTTAAAAGTTGTGCCATTTATGTAACTGTGCAGAAGGATTGTAGACATTGTCTAGAAGTTGCACATTTTCTGAGTTAATTTAAGGCTGACATCCAATGTAGTTTTGCACAAGTGTTTTTTACAGTTGTCTGCACATATGTTTATATATCCAGTTGGACAACATTTTGCTTAACTGTTTGCACAGTCACTTGTGCAAAGTGTAATTCAGTACGAGTGTCTTTGTAGGGACTTTAATTCAGATAACATTAGGTTAGATTTAGGCCTGTGTAATCTAATCCAAATTAATCTATGGTGGGGAAACCTGATGGCATTCAAAAATGGCAGTCTAGCATAGGAATGCAATTTAAATATAATCTCTATTCTTATGTCCCTCCATCCATCTGATTTTTTAAAAACTGTCTAATGTATCCAGATATTAAAATAGCTTCTCAGGTGCTGATTCAGTAACATTTTCACAAGGTCTAAAAATTACCTCAGAATGCTAACATAGGATATAATTTAAATAGTAGAAATCAAAAGGCCCTAGAATTTTGGAGGAGGGGATGGGAAGAGAGAAAATGACTATTTAGAATTCCAAGTGGCCTGTAAGACTATCCAGTCAGTGTAGGAAAAAGTAACGTAAACACTAAGTGCTAAGGGTGCTGACCAGACTTTCACCCATTTCCAACTCCAGTATTCATTGAGTCTATGTTTGGTTTGAATTAACAAGAAACTTGAGAGGGAGAGAGAGAGAGAGAGAGAGAGAGCTAGTTATGTGGCACTCAGAGAGGTCTTTTGTTATATTTGAAAATTCTTCATAATTTTGCCAGTCAGCACCATGTTAATAGTTGGTGTAGGTCTAAATCCACTTAACTCAGTAGACCTATTGAATCAATGGGACTTGGTTAAGTGTTGACTTATCATTCATCCTTCAGTTCTGTGAATGTAACTAAGGACAACAATTGGATATATAGGCAAATGGCCCTTTTACAGAACTTGCATCTTCACTTTATGTTGTTTTGGTATTTTTAAATACACTTTCCTTCCTACTGGAAATATCACATACCCACCACCCTGGGCTGCTAAAGTTATTACTACAACTCTATAACTTTTGATGTAGCACTACTTTTTTTTTCTTTCTACTCACTGCAGGCAGCCAAGGGCAGTTTCCACTCACACAGAATGTTACAGTTATTGAAGGTGAAACAGCAACCTTGACCTGTAGAGTTGATCAAAATGATAACACCTCCCTCCAGTGGTCAAATCCAGCTCAACAGACGCTATACTTCGATGACAAAAAAGGTAAATACATATTTTTCCCTTTTCAGTTTCTAAACAATTTGAATTATAAATAATATATTTTTAATATTACATGATTTGCTTATAATGTTTGCGTATATTTCTATTTCCTATCCTTCAATCCAGTGATCATGTGGTTAATTTTTTTATTAGCTATAAAACATTAATCATACCTTTTGAAGCCTATATATTTTTTCTCATAATATTGCTATGTAGGTGGCAAATATTTTTATTTCTAGATAATATGCTTGAATGTCTTCCAAGCACATTCACTGAAGTATCATTATGAGTTGTGCCAGAAAGAGTTGAAATAGTCAGAGTGTTGCATGGAAAAAACATGGTTAGCACAGATAATCTTGTATAAGCTTTCCCAACTTCTGAAGTAGGAAGACAGGTAGTTGTGGGTTTTTCGGGTTCTTTGGCCGAAAAACCCACAACAACGATCAGATCCTGGCCATGAAGGCCTTCGAGAATACATAGGAAGACAGGTGTTAATGCCAATGTCAATCAGAACTGCATTCCTGCACTCTGTTCATACTCATCTCAATTACCATTACTAGTGATATCACTTACTCTGAGGACGTGCCCAGTGAGAGCAAGAAGGCAGCCCCGTAGAGGGCTAGGTTGGACCAATGGAAAGCCACTGGCATCACTCTTTGAAGAGTCAGCCAAGTTCAAATCCCTGATCTGAGGTCAGTTCTTCCATGGATCTAGGCACTGTGGGAGAGGTGTCCTTGTTTATCAGAGCAAAAGTGATAGGAAACACTGAGATAAAGTTGTCCCAGTGAAGCAGGGGGGGTGGACAACTGTTGTGGGAAGCCATACTAGCTTACCTTTCAGTGCTACATTTGCTACACCAGAAGAGCATGGGGCCAGCATTGCTGCTACTGCACCTGTTTGGCTTGGTGTGGCAATGAGGGACAATTTTCCTGGAGGTAGGAGGCCCCAACTATGAAGATCATGGTGTGAAGACCATATATATAGCGTAGAGTGGCTTTAGGGAGTATGCTATATGTTTATTCAGGATAACAGTTAAAATATAAGGGTGTATCAATTGGTCCTTTTTTGAGAATGTATGTAAGAGGGATTTATCTGTAGCTTGAATTCCCTTGCATCAGAGGTATAGCTTCAACCAGAACACTAAACCAGTGTTGTTGTTTTTATTTTTGTAGGGGAATTTAAAGTATTGGTTCATATTGAATTAATATATTTGCCTAGAGATATATTTTTAATGTCCACTCTTTTCTCATATTGATATATATAATTTAATTGTTGAACTAACTTATATCAATACAAGTGAAGGCAGCATAGAAAACACAAGAAATGTTTTTGAGCAATTTCTCTTTTGTCTGCAAAATAGAAGAAGGAAATGAATTTTGGAGTTCATTAGTCTATTAAATTTGAAGATTTTTCTTCATCTACATATGTGATAATTATTATTTTGTTTATTACAGTTTATCCAAATGCCTGTTGCATAATCAGTGAAACTGATTCTTAAATTCATTCCCTCTAGTGTGATCTGGATTAGAGAGTTCATCATGATGCTGTACCTTATGAGGCTTAAAATGTTTATTTTGCTGTGAAGGACTCAAGTATGCTCTACGAAAGCATAGTGCTATCAAAGGATTTATAACTAAATATGTTGTTTTAAAGCTATAAATTTGAAGACAGAAAATATAAAAAACTTTGAGTAAGGGAAAATTTGGATGTTATCAGACTAATGATGATTATTGCTATTCTACCAACATGACTTGTGCTTGAAAGGAGTTTAGAAGCTCTGTCTATCAAGGTGTGAAATTTTATATACCTAGAGTTCTAAAAAAAAATAAAGGATGGTGTAGAAAATGTAACCATGAAATTGACGTGCTTTAAAAATGTGGCTTGAACGGCAGTTTACTCAAATTACTGCAGAACAATTAGCCTGCTGTCAAGCTAAGCAAGGTTGCTGTGCCACAATTTTAGTCACAACAATGATGTTTGTCTTAATAATGGTAGCCTGCAAAATTGTGAGTTACAAGCCTTTGGAGTTGCAAGAGGTACAGGGACAAGATAAATTCCTATTGTATAATTTTTGTTGGTGCATTTACAGAAAGGATTGTTGGTAGTTGATGAAGGACAGATAAGGATATAAATAGTGGCCAGAAAAGAAGCATCACATAGTAAGGCATCACAATATGCCATGCGATGCTACACATTGGATACCAACAATAACAATGAACTGGTTGTACCCTTTTTAAATTGCATTTTGTATATTTTAGCCACATAATTTGTTTTATGAAGTGGTTGTACATTTTAAAATTGCATTTTGTATATTTTATCCATAAATATGTTTTATGAGCTGGTCACTCGACCATAAATTAAAAAAAAAAACCAGTAGCAGTAACAGTGTTGGCAGAAGAGAACAACATGTATTTTCCTCTATAGATTCAGACTGGCTTGGCTGTGTGTTCTTAATAAGCTTAGAAGCTGAGAAAATCATTTTTGAAATATATTCTTACTTTTAAGAACTTGATATTTTAGAGGTGTACTCTCTGTCCTTTTTAGGCTATAAGCTCCTATATTTTTAGAATGTAAATGAAATATTCCCATTATTCTTTTTTACACTTATTTCAATAGTATATAGATTGGATTCTCATTATGCATTTGCCTACAGATTAAGTTTAGTTTTCATATATAAAGTATCTGTGCCTATAGTTTTTCCATAGCTGTAAGACTTTGGATGTTTGCAATATTTGAAGTGTTTATGGGATATAGAAGCAAAGTAGATCAATAAAGCTTGTAGAATTAAACAAGCTAAGGTTGCCTATAATTATTGCAACTTTGATATCCAGATTATTTTGATATGATTGGAAATAATTATCTGATCCCATCCTGAAAAAACCCTTGTCTCATATGAATGCCAGATGAACGCAGGCTTCTCTTTTCCCCCCTGGTAGTCTATAAAGTTCTCTGCGCTCTTACAGAGATGTTCAGGCATCAGATTCTCTGACCTAACATATCTGGAGAAGATGGTCAGTTTTTAAACAAAACAGTAGCTTTTCTTAATTTAAAGACACCAACAACAATGGGGACAATCAGTACAACAGGACTAAATTCATGATATACAATATCATGGCATGAAATTGAAATTGCCTGATCAAATTGCTCAGTTAGCTAGATGCTATACATTGCAGTTTTAAAGAGTACCATAAAAAGGAAGAGAGGAAAGGAAGGGAAGGGAAAGGGAAGGAAAAGTTAAAGATGAAAACTACCTCTCAGAATTTTATACTGTCTGAAAAGTTATTTTTAGATAGACGATATAGCCTACTGGTTGACTAATTTAGGAAAGGATCATCTTTAAATACATTTTCTTTTCTTTCTCTTTCCTCTGTCTGTCCCCTGTACTATTCCTTCATTTCTGTTTGTTTAGTATTAACAGAGTTAATTTCTCGTAGCTCTCCCATTATAGTATTTTATATACCATATTTTTCCATGTATATGACTCCCCAATGTATAAGACGCCCCCCAATTTTGACCCTTGCCGGAGGCAGAGGAGCAGTCAATGGGCAGCTGCGAGGGGGATCCCAGTGTGGCTGCGCCTCTGCCTCCTGCTGCCGCTGCCTTGTCTCCTGCCTGAAGATAGCCCGTGCGTGGCGCTGGATGAGGTGGTGGCAGCAGTCAATGGGCAGCTGCGAGAGGCAGCCACAACGCCTCCTCCAGCACCAGTCTCTCTTCAGGCAGGGGACTAGGTAGCGACGTGAGCTGGAGGTAAACTCCAGCACTAGCTCCTTTGGCTCCCCCTCCTTCCGTGTATAAAATGACCCTCAAATTTTCCTCTAATGATTTTAGGAAAAAGTGTTGTTTTATAAACAGAAAAATACTTTAAAGGTTAGACTTGTGGGGCAATAGGCAAGGTAGTTCTGTAGATTTGTACTGGCTTGCAAAGTAAGTGACTGGGACTGATTGACATTTGTATGAGCGGTGTGCCTAGGAGTGTTAGGTTTAGTCCTCAGTTTAGACTTTGTTGTTGTTGTTGTTGTTGTTGTGCAAAGAAGCTGTGAGTAGTATTTTTAAAAGAATTTTATAAAAAGAAACCAACTAATAAATCAACTTTAAAAAAATAAATCCACAATTATAAACTCTGTGTGACCCACAACCCTCAGGACTATTTTTAATTTTTATTTTTAATTATATTTTATGCTGCCCCATTTCCCTCCAGAAATACATTGATTCATCTCCATGTGTATACCCTTGCTGATTCTGGAAAACAAATGCTAAAAATAAATTCCATACTTCTTTAAAATTGTTAATGTTCAATATTCCTTTTCAAATCTTAGTTTCACAAGTTAATTTGTTTTTAAGGGCCATATTCCACATTTCTTTATATCCTTCATATTAAATTGGTTGTTATTTTTCCAATTATTTTTAAATATCAGCCTTGCCACAGTTACCATAATAATAATTAATTCCTTTTCTTCTCCCTTTAATTGATTATTATTAACAATGTTCAACAAAGCAGTTATTGGGGACATTTGTACATAAATACCCATTATTTCCGTAGCTGTGAATAATACTGTGGTATTTTTAGAATGTGCATCAAAGCAAGCACCCATCTATCTTTATATAAATAATTTAAGTATGTAAAATTATTTATAAAAGTGAAAGTTTTATGGTTATATACTGAAGAAACTGATAGCTGAAACATGGTTCTTATTTTACTTTTGCCTATTAAATTAAACTTCCTCTTTCTGTGTTTGTTTTTAGAAAAAAATATTTCTCATTTTGGTTTACAAAATATGCTTATTATTTCTACAGATAGGAGTCACAAGGTTTTACTCATCTGTATACTACTGGTCAGTGTTCTGACACATCATATATGTAGAGTCATCAAAGTAAATAAAGCTGTATTTTGACAAAATATTCGCACTTTTAAAAAGGACAGTGTGAAATGAGCCCTTAAGTGTGGAAATGTTAAAGCAGCAATGTGAAAGAAACATCAAACTCTTTGCCTGAGTTGATGGTTT